ATTTGACTTGTCGTGACCATTGACATGTTCAATCCAATGTTGTAGATTTATTCTTATTTCTTTCATTATGGTTCATTATGGTTTGGTTCAAGTAAGAATGGTGATCAGTAAAAGAAATAAGAATGCATCATAGCCATACAATGTGAACATCCAACGCCTAAAAACAATCCAAAATTGTATACTCATTAAAGGCATATTGGACGTTATACCTTATTCCAACCCAACCACACACCTATCCACCTGTGAGTCTCACCCCCACATCTCGCCATTTCTCCTCCACTCTTTCTTTCCATTCCTGAATTGCCGTCGCCGCTAAATCCACCGCCGCCCTGCTCACCTAGCCGGTAATCGACCTGTGGGTTTAATCTCCAATATCGACCTGCAGACTTCACCTCCGAGCTCAGTCAAACACCCAGTCGGCCTGCAGGTTCGACTTTCAAGCACCGGTCATCAACCTTCGAATTTGACATGCGAGTTTAACTTCCGAGCTCGACCAATGCCCATTCGGCCTACAGATTTCGATTCCAAGCACCGATCATCAACCTTCAAATTTGACATGTGAATTTTATTTTCCAGCCCGATCGATCATCTCGTAATTTATCCAGTCATCATATTTTGGCCCACAGGTACATAGGTCGACCTCAATTTAAGTTGGCGACGTTGAAAGTCATATGATGGATGGATGGTGGGTGCGAATTTTGCTGAAATTATCATTATCCATTATCCATTTAAGTTAAAGTTGAGATAGATTTTGAGTATGGATTGATTATGAATTGAGTTATTTCATAAACAAACACACACTTATCCATTATTAAACATAATAAATCCTTACACCAAATAAATTTTAAATGACAGGTTCTGCCTCCGAATGCATACACATATTTTCTACCTAGGATCATAAATTTCGTTCACGACAATGGGGGTTCTACCTGGAGAGTCGTCGATTCTCTCAACCTGGGCAACGTTATTTTCGTAGAAGGGATGACGTATCTTCCTTCATGACAATGACGTGAAAGAAGCATACATCATTGTCTTCAAGCATGTCGACATAGACATGTTTTTAGTCATTGTTCTTTTAATAAGGATGTATGTGAAAAATCCACTCCTGCTAGTGGAGATTGACCAGCTTATGCTGGTCCATTGGATTTGACGACCTAGATTTTTTTTTATTCCAGTCTTTTTATGTACTATTTATTATTATATTATTCTTGTATTATTACTTACGGATAGAACGACTTCACTTTAGTTTATTTACAGAATAAAAATTTTTCAAAAATAAATTTTCAAGAAAATAATTATGCGAATATTATTTTTACTCGTAGTTATTATCGCAGAATAATAATTTTCTAAATATAAATTAAATCAAAATTTTCTTCGATTATTCTGCAATTATCAATGTCCTAAGAACGCAGGTTCATAGAATGAATAATTGTTTATACTAAACTTGTTTGCGCCTACCCGGTGACAGACTCGTGAATGACCGAGTTGTTCACCAAATTTGTACATATTCATCATCGAACTATTGTATAGTTTATCTCATAAAACTTTCGTACTTGGTCATATTTTTCGCCTAACTGTCGCATAGTTTATCTCAGATTGTGTTCGAAATTTCTCATAATCAATGCGTAAATGTCGCGCAATTTATCGCATACACTTTATGGGGTAAAAATACTAACTTATTTGTGGATTGTGTGAAAAACTTAACACATCTTCATGGTGGGTGAAAAGGACTATTTTTACAATATTATTATGTATACTATCCTCTACAAACAAATGTCTTTCTACTCTATTCTCTTTCGCTCAGATTAAATGGAAATATAAAAACTTATTCTTCTTCGCCGTTATCACTTCTGTTGTGACTATTTTTGTTACGTTTTTCATTACTGATTTGTCGTTCTTTTTCTCCCGATTTAGGTCTTTTTGTAGTTTGTTGTGTGTTTTGCTTTATTTTGGCTTTTTATGTGTTTTTTCGTATATTTTGTCGGTTCTCTATATTTTTCTTCTTGTCTTTGGTGTGCAGGTTGAAAGCTCTGTGAGGAATGAATTTATCCCGAAAATTGACCGAGAATTATGGTTGCGTAGAGGAGTTCCTTATCTACACATAGGAAAAAGCGGAATCTAATTTCGAGTTCGGACGAATCCGAACGGGGCCGAAACGTAAAGTCCAGCAAACTACCGACCATTTGAAGGTTGGAAGACCCTAGAGGATTATAATCTGATCAAAATTTGAATTTGAAAGCATCATTGAATAGAGAGGTTCGTTAGCGATGCGTAGGAAAAAACAGAACTCAATTCTGAGTTCGGATGAGCCCAAACGAGCCCGAAACGCAAAGTCGCGCAGCCCAGTCCTTCATAGCGGCGCTATGCGAAGATAACTGGGACAAAGGCTTTTAGTTGAAATGCCTTAGCGGCAGTTATGGCCCTTAGCGGCCGCTAACCCCCCAGGCTGGCAGACAACACAGAATTTTCTTTTCCTCAAAACATGGCATGAGTTGGAAAGAGCTCGTTAGTGGAGCACTTAGGGGACAACACTCACCTGAAAATAAGGATTTGGGGCTATAAAAACATGCCCTCTTGATCATGGAATGGACAATTCATCTTCCATTACTATTACTCTATCTTTCTTCACCACCTTTCTTCCATTTTTATTTCTAAGTGTTGTATTTGTTTTGTTGGAGTGTTGAAGACATTGAAGTGTACTTTGGACTAAGTTTGCATTTGCTCTTAGATATTGGATTTCTCATTAATAGTAAGTTATCTTTTCATCTTGTTTATGTTAAGAATGACTTACTTAAATGTGAATATGCATGATTATATTATGAGCAACTAATCTCCTAGCCAGGGTGAGGGGATAATCATTCCGGTTTGTTCTTGTTTATGTGCATTAAGATAACTCAATCTTAACGAGTTGTTTTAATTATGAATTGATAAAATCATACTTGATAAATTGTTATAACCTAAGAGTGACACTTAGGTTAATTTGTTGATATAATCGAAGAGTGACACTTCGATTTGTGATTGAATATTGATTTGTTAAGTTAGAGTTTGTTAATTCTACGAATTGTGACTTTTAGAACCGAAAGGGGAGGAGTCGTAGAGATAATCGATTTCAAAACCGAGAGGGGAGAAATTGGTGGAATTTGGCTCGTTTAGAGTAGACATGTTCGGAGACGTATTGTCTATGTGTTAATTGTTTCGTTAATTTGCTCTTTTATGTTTATCCTCATATTACGAGAGTTAGTGAGGTTAAACAGCTAAATGAATTAGTTAGTCGAACCACTTAACCGAGTTATTGATTGCCGTTAAATGTGTGTAGAACCAGAAGCGATTATTCTCGATACCCTAGCTCGTTTATATTTTTATTGTTTATATTTTTAGGTAGATTTATGTTTTATGTTATTTTTCAGTTAATAATCAAAAACCAACAAATTGAATTAGAATGTTTAGGATTTATTTTCCTTTTATGTGTTATCGATATCAGTTCTAAATTTCGAACCGCCTTCCTCGAGAGATCGACCCGGGAAACGAATCATTCGATTCGTTTTATATACTAATATATTAATTTTTTTAGTATATACTAATAGAAAGTATTTATAAAAAAATAATATTAGTATTTAGTATTAAATTAATAGTATAAAAATTATACAATAGGAAAAATCTATATTAGTATAAATTATTAATATATATGAATGTATTATCTTATAACGTAAAATTTATTGATATTACGTTAGAAGTTAGAATTGATTATATAATAAATTACAAATCTTTTTTTTTTTCAAACGATAGACTTTATAAATAAACACGAAAATACAACCGGTTCACTAACCGGAAAGAGGGAGGTCTACCACTAAAGGTAGCCTAAATCACAACACTACAAAACACACAAAAAACCAAAACCCCACTAATGAGGAATACACACTCCCCGCCGGGAGAATTCACACTCCTAAAGAGGAAAAAAAAACACTGACGCACACAAACAACACTTACACCACACAACAACAAAGCAACACTAAACACAACGCAAACACTACAAAAAGAATACAAAACAACGAACACTAAGCCCTTCCCAAAGCACAATGAAGCCAAACCGAACACCAACGACACCAACACCCAAGGCCGACTACCCACACGGACAAGACCCGGTTCAAGCCACAAATCCAGAAACTGCACATAAATCGCCTAGCCAAATCTGAGACTAAAGAACCCACTCTCGCCCGGGTAGACAACCCTAAGACCCGCAACCGGAGATCCACAACATACTCCACCTCCCAAGACCCGACAACCCAGGTCCAAGACACAAGTCCCACCCCGAGCCGAGCCGACTCCGCTAACACAACCCGAAGGCCCCAAAAGCAGAGCAAAACGGGAGAAGGGAGGAGAGTGAAACCGCCCCGATCTCAGCCTCAACTACCACCCCGCCAACCTCCGAGTGGATAATAGGAGCCACAGCATGCACTCACAGCCACGCCGGCAGCTCGCCACCCCCTAGACTCCGAGAAGAATCGCGGGATCCCGACCCACTTTAGCAACCTGCAAGACGGCGAAACCCAAGGGGAGAACCCGCCATCTCACCCGATGAATAGGCCACCGCCACTGCCGACGTCTCTGAGATTCGACCGCACGGCTCGGAGGATGCCGCCGTCGTGGTGGCCCGAAGGCCCTGCTGGGAGAAGGCACGCGAATTAGCGGATTAGGTTTTCTGTGAATATGGGGCTTTTTGTCGAGAGCTTTTCTTCTTAGAGAGAGAAATAGGTCAAAAAAAAAAAGGTCAAAATTTAATATTTGATTTGATATAAATTTCGCATATATAAAAAAATTATGTCAATATTTATTAATAAAAATTAAATAAACTAATACATCGTAATTAGAAAATAATAAAATACTAATTTTTAATTAAATAATAAAAATTGAGTCTGAGTTTCACCCACATCATTTCCATCATTATATATACCGTGGCAAACAAGCACTCTGATCATCTCCATCTCCATCTCCATTCTCTCTCACAAAATGGAAGCAAAACAGATTGTTTTCCTCTTCCTCCTCATCCCCATTATCATCTCCGTCTCATCAGAGCCCCTCCAACAACACCAGACCTTCTTCCCCACCTCACTCCCCCAAGTAACCCAAGATTTAGAAACCCTCTCCTGGGACATTCCCAAACAATTCTCTGATGATTCCGAATCCGAATCAATTGTCGTCCCCCTACACCACGTTGACCACCTCTCCCCATCTTCCACCTCCACCCCTGAGTCCCTCTTACTGAACCGCCTCAAACGCGAGGCAAAAACCATCGCATCCCGAAACTTTAGCTCCTCCATAATCTCCGGCTTGTCAATGAACACCGGCGAGTACTTCACCCGCCTTGGGGTCGGCACCTCGGCCCAGCTCTTCTACCTAACCATCGACACTGGCAGCGACATCACCTGGCTCCAGTGCCAGCCCTGCCAAAACTGCTACCCCCAGCTCGACCCCATCTTCGACCCCCAAAACTCCACCTCCTTTGCAAGTGTCCACTGCAACTCCCCCCTCTGCACCCTCCTCGACACACGGGGATGCGACAAACACCGCAACCAGTGCCTGTACGAGGTCACGTACGGAGACCAATCCACCACCTCGGGCACGTTTTCCACCGAGACACTGACCTTCGGAGCCACCAAATTGCCGCGACTCCCCTTGGGCTGTGGTAACGACAACAAGGGCTTGTTTTCCGGGTCCGCCGGTCTGCTCGGCCTCGGCCGCGGGAAACTGTCCTTCCCGGCCCAGGCCGGCATAAACAATTTCTCCTACTGCCTCGTGGGACGCTACTCAAACTCGTCGTCGTATTTGATGTTCGGCGACTCGTCGGTCTCCAGGAAAGCGGTTTTCACGCGCCTGCTCACCAATCCCGAAATCGGCACGTTTTACTACGTCGAGTTGAAAGGGATCTCGGTGGGCGGGACCCGGGTGCGGGGAATCAAACCGTCCGTTTTCAAGATAAACACAACCGCGGGCCTCGGAGGGGTGATTGTGGACTCGGGCACGTCCGTGACCTGGCTGGTCCAGCCCGCCTATGACGCGCTGAGGAAAGCTTTCAATGACAGTGCTTCTTCTGACCTGAAGCCGGCGGCCGAGGGATTCGAAAACCTTGACACGTGTTTCGATTTACGCGGGAAGAAGGAGGGGAAGGTGCCAACGGTGGTGCTGCACTTCAAAGGCGCTGACATGCACCTGCCGGCCTCGAATATCCTGATTCCGGTGGACGATAACGGCAAGTTCTGCTTTGCGTTTGCGGGCACGACCAACAGTCTCGGGATGTCCATAATTGGTAATGTTCAGCAGCAGAGATTCCGAGTCAGTTTCGACCTGGCCAATGAGAAAATCGGCTTCGCACCAGAAAGTTGTTGAGTGGGAAACAGAAAAAGATTTTTAGATTCTGCTTTAGTTTTGACAAAGTATAAAAATACAGATTTGGAATTGAATAAATATATTTGATTTGCATTGGTTTAATCCCATCTGGTTTCGGGTTTTTCTATCCCTTTTGTTCTTATGAACTCGCAATTAAACTAGGGTTGTATTCAATTCAGAATTTAAGTGACATTTTAAGATTTTTCGAGATTTAAGACTTTCTAGAATTTTCAGATTTTGAAAGAATTCTATGAAATCTCAAGTCCGGAGGTAAGATTTGAAGTGGGATTTCATATAAGGTTTTTTGTTTATAAATTCTGCTAAATCTTAAAAAGTCTTAATAAATTTTAGTGTCAAAAAAATTAAATACCTCATAATTTTGTAAGACTTTTGAAAATCCCAATTAAATACCCCAGAATTTTTAAAAGTTTTAAAAAATCTTAACAAATCTAAATTGAATACACCAAGATTTTTAAAGTCTTAAAAACTTCTTAAAAATTCTAATTAAATACACCCTTGATAAAAAGAAAAAGAAAAATCGGACTACTTGTTGAGTTTGTGCCAATAGTCATAATTAAATGTTTCTAATTATACTTGTCGACACATAATCTAAAATAGTTAAAATACTCCCAAGTCAAGCCATGAATTCCTTGTCGCCGTACATTATGCCTATTTACCGGAAATTAGTGGTCGGGGATTAAAATAAATTATTATGACCTATTTGCATTTTCACACTAACCATCTATTTCAAGGGGCTCTTTTACTAAGGGGATGAGATTTGATCAACCTAAATATCCAACTTTTTTTTAGGTTTATTTACCTTGATTGCAAATTAGATTGTAACTACGTGTCATGTGGTGGGTCCATTAATTTGCCTATTCCGTAATGGTCGATAATATTAGATCGGCCTTGTCCATGTGATTTTTCAATCCTAGCTATGAAATGACCATTGTGTCCATAAATTAGGTTAGAAAATGTTTTAAATGCCCTTTGATGTATAATTATTTACAAACATTGGTCATAAACATAAAACTCAAAAAACGGAAAAACTACAGCCAAAAAAATAACTCATCGCCGCCCCTTTTTTTGGGCTGGGGCGCAATGAGCTCCACCTTCTCGCGGGTTTTTCGCTCCACCTTCTCTCGGAGCATGGCCAGGTCAGATGGATGTTGGCACTGCAATGGAAGAGGTCGCTGTAGAATTGGAGGTTGTGGTGTCGGAAATTGATGATGCCGTCGAATTGAGACCTATGCCTGTGGACGGATTAGAGGTCAGCATAGATTCTCCAATTGCGATTGTAGTTGATCAGGATAATGTTTTGTTTGTTGACTGCACGATCAAATATAGCAACATGTTGCTGTCGTCGGTGCTGGAGGAGAAAGTTTATCGAGAGATTCAACTGGAATCTCTCTTCCTCGCGAGAGACCCTTTTGATACTTCCATATTCGCTTGCCGTAAGCCAAATAGAACCAACCTTGAAGGTAATTAATCGATTAACTCACTCAAAAATCTTATTATTGATATTGAGGATAACTATTATTCTTTTCGTTTTTCCACATATATCAACGTCGTGTTTTGCACTGCGAAGGTCGCACATCCAAAACAGTGTTTTGCTAACTGGTCGTCGTTGTTAAAACAGCCGACGTGCTGGCCTTGCAGGTTTTCTGTTCCATCTTCTCCCGAAGCAGCCGACAAAAAACTCATTGTCAAAAGCGAATGCACTTGATGACTTTGGATGTGCAACCTTCGCAGTGCAGGTCGACTTTGAAAATCGAACTCCCTTTCAGATCCTTAAGGGTCGTAGATGGAAAAGGGAGAAGATGAAGATTCGAGTAGGGTAGAGAAAAAAATTTCTCCAGCGAGGACCTATTCAAATTTTTAATTTGAACATCTGATTATGTTAGCTTAAGTAACTCGTTGATTCCAAATTAGAACAAGTAGCAAGTTGGGTTGGTTGAGGACCTAATTCAAAATTTTAGTCTGAAAATTTGATTATGTTGGCTAAAATAACTCGCTGGTTCCAAGTTTAAACAACTCGTAAGCTGTGTTAGGCAAGGACCTAATCTAAAATTTTAATTTGAACAATTGGTTATGCTGACTAAAATACCTCGTTGATTTCAACTTTAAACTATTGGGGGGACTAGATGATATAGCCACATAAGGATAACCCGGTCTAGAAGCTTCTTACTCGACCGGCGAGCCACTCGAACGACTCATACGTCGACATGACTCCGCCGGCATGACCAATCGACTTCCCTAGAGTCGACCCTACCGAGAGCAATCGAGGAGAGGCAGAAATCGGTCTAGTCGACATTTGCAAGTCGACTTCTAACTATCGACTTCTGCTAGTCGACCTCATACTAGAAGGACATCAAGAATGCAACTCCCAACCATCCAGATACTCTAAGTCGACTTCCACTAGTCGACTTCCTCATGACGACTCTCTAAGAGATGACCACCGCAGGGAGTTCAACCAGGTGTAGCCTCCGAAGCCGTATATTCATAAGTCGACCTCCTAGTCCTCGAGGTCGACTCTGTACATCTCGAGGATCAAAGGGGTGAAGACGATTCACCACACTTGCAACATATCCAAAGCTCTACACATTACCGAGGATAAGAAGGAATCTTGCGATGACTCAGCAACTAAGGGGAGACGAATCGACAGGGGCATTTTGGACCTTCTAGGTCCACCGACTTGGGCATTTTGGGCACTTCAAGTAAGTATTCACTCCTATATAAAGGAGGCAAGGTACCCCAAACCCTAACTCTGATTCATTCCCACTCTCCACCATAGCTGCTGCGCAGCCTCTCTTCATCTCTCTCATACTGACTTGAGCGTCGGAGGCTCTACGCCGGAAACACCTCCGGCGTTGAGTTTTTGCAGGTATTCTTGCGGTCTAGCGACGGTTTCAAGGCGGTTCAAGCAGATCTAAGTTCACAACCACCGGTTTACTTCAGATCTAGAAGTAGACCCATCAATGAGGATCTCTTTATTTATTTTCTCTTTCATATCACATAATGTTGATTAGTTTCATGCTTACACTTATTAGTGTTCATTCTTTCAACAAAATTTATCATAATTATGTGAGACAAATATATATCACGAAATCATCTTATGTTATTCGAACTAAATAAAATATATCTAATATATATTTATTTATTAATTTTATCAAATATTTTTAGTTGATTAGTTATTTTTGAACTATTATAACAAATGCAGTTAAATGGAAATAAATAAACACAACACATACTTATATGCTATTTTTGTTCATTTAGTTATTTTTGAATCTATTAGTATTTATTTTAATTTTGGTTCACATGTTATTTTAGAACTAGTAAAATCGGTTCACATAACTTTAATGTTTAACCTTACAATTATATATTATACATATAAAACTATTGATAAAAATTAAATTACAATTAATTTGTATATAGAGAAATGTCATTATACAATATAAAACTAATGATAATAATATATGTAATTATATAGTATACATATAAAATAAATAAAAAATTATATATTAATTAAACCAGTTCGACTGGTTCGACCAGGTCCGACCAGTGAACCATTAAACCAGTAGTTTCATCGGTTCGATGACCGGTTTAATTTTGACAACCTTGGTTTATCGCATAAAACTTTTGCACTTGTTGATATTCGTCGCCTAGATGTCGTATAGTTTATCCCATAATGTGTTCGCATTTGCTCATAATAAAATCTAACGTCTAACTGTCACATAATTTATCGCATAATGTATTTTTACATTTCATGGGGTGAAAAACTTAATATATATTTATAATGGGGTGAAAAAGATTATATTATTATTTTTATTACATTGTGGAAACCAAACCACTCTCTCGATCGTCTCTCTAGCTCAGAAAAGTTGGAAACTAAAAAACTTCATTCTTGTCATAATTGAAGAAAAGAATTCAAAATTTAGTAATGTATTTTGTCAAAAGTAAAAGATTCCAAATCATCCGCTTTTGAATACTCCCCCGGCCAGTCTTAGAGTTTTAGTCTCACCCACATCATTTCCATTCTATTTATACTCCGGAAAACCAATCACTCCAGCATCTCCATTCTCTATCACTCACAAAATGGAAAGAAAGATGAACTTCTTCTTCTTCTTCTTCTTCTTCTTCCTCTTCCTCCTCTTCAGCTATCACATCTCCATCTCATTTTCATCAGAGCCCCTCCATTACCAAACCCTCTTCGTCAAACCACTCCCCAAATTACCCAAATTGGAAACTCTATCATGGGACACCAAACAATTCTTCGAATCCCTATCCGAATCCGAAACCCCACCCATCATCGTCCCCCTGCACAACATCGACCACCTCTCCCCTACCTCCAACTCCACACGGGAGTCCCTCATCTTGAAACGCCTTCATCGAGATGCCATCCGTGCCCAAGCCACATCTTCCAGCTGAATAAATCCGCCTCCTTCGCAAATGCCGGTTGCAACTCCACCCCCTGCAAACTCCTCAAAATAGGGGAGTGCAAAGAAGATGGCGACATATGCACCTACGAGGTCAGGTACAGTGACGAATCCGACACCATTGGTGTTATAGTTCATATTAGTTCGCTCAGGGGTATATTAGACCTTTTATTTGTTCTGTTTTAGTATAAAATACCTTTTCTCCCTCCTGTAACAGTAGAATATAATATTGATATTGTAACCTTTTCCTTATCAATGAAAATGGCGATTTCCCTAAATTTCTTCTCTGTTGTACTTCTTGTTTCTCTGCTCTGCCATTAAACATGGTATCAGAGCAGGAGTAATAACAATCGAAGATGGTACAAAACACGGCATGGAATGTAGTAGTGGCCGGTGGGCGAAACTCCGGCAACACTAGCGAAGGAAATCAATCGTCGACGATGAGGACGGAGGATCCGTATTTGCTTCATAATTCCGATCATCCAGGTATGGCTTTGGTTTCGACTATGTTAACCGTTCCGACTATCAATCGTGGCGGAGAGCTATGACAATTGCACTTGGTGCAAAGTCGAGTAAAAAGGCCAGATCCAGATGCGGCGGAGTTCGAACAGTGGAGGAAAATCGATTACACAGTATACAGCTGGATATTGAATTCACTTGGCAAGGATCTCGTAGATGCGTTCTTATATGCAGAATCGGCTCAGGCACTGTGGGAAGAAATTGAGCAGCGGTTTGGAGAAAGCAATGGACCGATGCTATATCAGCTGCAAAAGGAGATCTCCAACATCAAACAGGAAGGAGACTCAATTGCAGGTTACTTCACTAAACTCAAAAGACTTTGGGATGAGTATTCTAGCTTGGTGCCTTTCCCTACCTGTAATTGTGGTGGTTCACAGCAGTTGGTTAAAATGGAGGAAGATAGGAAGCTGATGCATTAAGCCTGAAAGGTTTATTGTTGATATATCCGAACAATACCCACGGATATGGGCACTAAAAGGAGTTGATCCAACCGCAATAAGAAAGTGGGCGATTTTGGGGCCATTGCCTCAATATTTACGGTGGCACTAGGCTTTTGAAATATCTGGGATGCTATAATGGGTTACAAAGGTTCTGTATGACTTATGGTCCTATAATCCATATTTGGAAAGAGGAGAAATTTTAGAGCTCAAGTTCATCTATATAGCACCAGAGCCTACAAGTGATTATGGAAAGCATGTTGTTGTTCATTTTATTAAGTTACAATTGTCAAACAAAAGGAACCTGAACCAAATCAAGACACTTGAGGTAATTCCATTATACACCCCATGACAAAGTATGACATTGCGATGAGAATGGCATATGGAGTATGAGAATACCTAATTGAAATGGGTAAAAGTAAAATATTCATTCGAAATACTTTAAAATTCTTTTAATGGATCGTTTTTACATAACCCATTAACCGCAACTGCTTCAAAGTTTGCTAACGATTTATTCGACAACAAAAAANTCTTTTAAAAAAAAAAAAAAAAAAAAAAAAAATCTTATGGGAAAACAAGTTAGCATGGATAGAATATGCACGTTATAACGCGTGTAATATGGTACATGGTTTAAAATTGCACGAGCATATATGTCAATGTTATCCAAGCTAGGAGAAACCAATGCTCGGAAAACTTTTTCCAATCAACAGAGAATGCCCGGAGCAAAAGGATAACCCGAAGAAGAATAAGGGAATTTCAAAATGAATTTCCAAAAAGAAAGCAAGTCGATTGCGACCTGATACCTACCACTATAATAGTGGACAGGATAAAACGAGAAAAAATCTCTTTTGGGTAGAAATGGACGAAAACCTAAGTCATAAAAAAAGGCACTGAGAAATCATTCAAAAATTCGAACCCAAAAGCATGTGATGCCAACAGAGCATCCATCAACTGCTGGTGGAAGCAATAATAGAGGGTTGGGACCCTCTATTAAAGAATGCTTGGAGGAAGCAAAAGACGTCGCTCATTCTTTTCAGCTTTCTCACTATAATAAAATCTCTATAATAGTTTGAAATAAGTTTAGTGTTAAGAGTTGTAATTTTCTTTTTCAAAAATTTTATATATGTTTATGTTTTCGCCTCTATCATGAGATGCTAAAGTAATTTCTGCACTATAAAGAGATTACTTATGTAATTGCTATTGTCACAATAATTGTATAAACTTAATTGTACATGTAGCATTTGCCTAATTTTAATTAATCATCACTTTAAAATATTTTTCTCCTATTTTTATATAAATTAATTTTTATTATTTTATTTTAAATATTAATTTAATACTAACTCAAAATCTCTGTCAAATTTATCTCAACTAACTTTATCAAAATTAACTATGTTTAAAAAAAATCAATAGTAACAAAAGATCCAATCAAAAACTTGGCAAATACTAGGCCTTGTTACGGAACCATCTTGTCGGGTGTTTTAACCGTCAGATTATCTATCTTATACTCACTATATGTGTGTCCAACAGATAAAACTCCCGTCAAGATAGTTTCATAACAGAACCATAGCATTTCCTAATAAATTAAAAAATATATATCCAAATAACCCCTAGACCTACTCACACTTATCCGTCATATGTGCCAATTAATAATATAAAAAATTCACAGCCAAACCCAACGAAAAATTACAACACTGTCCCCCATTTTCCCCTTCACATTCAATAATGAACGGTCACAAAAAATAAAAGTAAAAATCCAAACTATTCTCTCTCTCTCACCTCCACACCGTCACTGCCTCACTGTCCCCCACCATTATTTATACTCCCAAAGGCCAAAGCAAACCACTCTCACCATCAATACCCTCTCTCTCTCTCAAAATGGACGGAAAAAGGATTCCCGTTTACCTCTCCGTCTACTTCTTCCTCTTCGCCGTTACCATCTCCGTCACACTCTCCGACCACCTCCAACACCAAACCTTCGTCCTTACCTCACTCCCCACCCCCCAACCCCAAACCCTCTCCTCGGCCACTCAACAAACCTCCGAATACGAATCCGAATACGAATCCGAATCCGAACCCGAATCCGAATCCACAATCACCGTCTCGCTCCACCACGTCGACAACCTCCACGCCGCTCCCAACTCCACCGCGGAGTCCCTCTTCCATCTTCGGCTCCGCCGAGACGCCGTCCGCGCCCGTACCCTCTCCGCCATCGCTGCCTCCTCCTCCCGTGCCAACGTTTCTGGCAAGCCCCGACCCGCCGCCGCCGACTTCAGCAGCTCTATTGTCTCCGGCCTCTCCCAGGGCAGCGGCGAGTACTTCACCCGGATCGGTGTCGGCACGCCGCCCCGGTACGTCTACATGGTCCTCGACACCGGCAGTGACGTCGTCTGGGTCCAGTGCTCCCCCTGCCGCAAGTGCTACTCCCAGACCGACCCTCTCTTCGATCCCAGAAAGTCCACTTCCTTCTCCGGCGTCCCCTGTGCCTCCCCCCTCTGCCGCCGCCTCGACTCCCCGGGCTGCAACAACCGCCGGAAGTGCCTCTACCAGGTATCCTACGGGGACGGCTCCTTCACCTTCGGCGAATTCTCCACCGAGACGCTCACCTTCCGGAGGACCAAGGTCCCCGCCGTCGCCCTCGGCTGCGGCCACGACAACGAGGGCCTCTTTGTCGGCGCCGCCGGCCTTCTCGGCCTCGGCCGGGGGCGGCTCTCATTCCCCACCCAGGCCGGCCCCCGGTTCGGGAGAAAATTCTCTTACTGCCTCGTGGACCGGTCGGCCTCGTCCAAGCCGTCGTCCATGGTGTTCGGCGGCTCGGCCATCTCCCGGCGCGCCGCCTTCACGCCGCTGGTGGCGAACCCCAAGCTCGACACGTTCTACTACGTGGGCCTGAACGGGATTTCGGTGGGCGGCGCACGGGTGCCCGGGATCACGGCGTCGCTCTTCCAGCTCGACAGCACCGGCAACGGGGGTGTGATAGTAGACTCGGGTACGTCCGTGACCAGGCTGACCCGACCCGCATACGTGGCGCTGAGGGACGCGTTCCGGGCCGGAGCCTCCAACCTGAGGCCCGCCTCGGAGTTCTCCCTCTTCGACACGTGCTTCAACCTGTCCGGGAAGACGGAGGTCAAGGTGCCGACGGTGGTCCTCCACTTCGGCGGCGGGGCCAACGTGCCCCTGCCGGCGTCGAACTACCTGATTCCGGTGGACGGCGACGGCAAGTTCTGCTTCGCGTTCGCGGGCACCATGAGTGGGCTGTCCATAATCGGCAACATTCAGCAGCAGGGCTTCCGGGTCGTGTTCGATCTGGCGGCGAACAGGGTAGGGTTTGCACCCAGAGGTTGTGATTAATTAACTTAATTATTGTTGTTTTTATTTTCTATGTCCTTTTTATATATCCTGTGTTTGATTGACTTATGTCATGAATCTGAAAATTTTCCGACCATCGGAAATGGGGTCTCTACAGTGCTTGAGGTGAGCTTGCGACAAAAGATTTAGCTTTTGCAGTAACTGCAGAGAGTATAGAAATGCGTGTTTGATGTTTGAATGAATACAGTTTGAATTGAGCACATAGATTTGAATTGGATTGCATTATGCCATTATCTGGGTTTCTAATTTCCTATTTTTAGGGCTCTTAATTATAATACGTAA